GATACGCTGCATGCGCAAATGCCTCAGGGTGTATGGGGTATTGCTATTGGAGATATCGGAAAAACTGCTAAAACTCCATATTGCCCTCCTGTGTTCATCACTTGTCTCTCGATATTCGCACGTGTTCCGGACAGCTGGCTTCCCTTCATCGTGTGAATGACTTACAGAAAACAACGAGTCACTCGTGCAAAAGATAAAGTCGAGGTTGTGCGCTCCTTTGTTGATCTGCGGAATGTTTAGAAAATAACTTCTGAATAAAGTAACAACATCCAAGAGCATATCTTTCTACTCGCATATTTGTTTCAGCAACTTCCGAGCGGTATACAGTTGCGAATGATATTAAGAGACCCGGCGAGTATGTGGCTCACAACGCCTGCCGCGCTATCTATCAGAAGATAGCTGAACCATTGCGTGGCTTCAGCGACCGTTTCGTCGTCCCTCCACGCTTGACCAGTTCTCGCTGAATCGATGCTTATTCCGCCGAATATAATGGCCTTTCGTAACAAATAATGAAATTAAGCGTGGCTAAATCCACTGATCCGGCATGGTGGGTGATCATTTTTCGGAAGTTAGATAATACGTTCGCAAGAGAAATGACAGTAAGCAATTTCTGTTTTATTTCACGTAGCGCACCTCCTATCAGTGCTGACATGGTTATGATTTGCCAACCAAGTGGGGAGGATTTATACAGAAATCGAAAATCTGTTATAAATGCCGCTCGTGTACACAATAGCCTCGATGATAAATCAGCCATCTTTTGTTCGATGAATCGTCTAAGCCACGCACTCGCCTGGACTTTTTTGTATCGTCCGCGGCTGCACTTACCAGACTTTTTTTTTCCGGGTACCTCTTTTTACCCATTAAGAAATTCAACAGGAATTAATAAAGCTTAGAATGACCTAAGTACCCCAAACTTGGGCTGAAGCGCGCTGAAGATCCCTGCAACATAAAAGGCAGTAAAAATGTACTAAATATACTTTAGGTGTATTTTGTTTTTGCATACTTATGTGCATTTTGAACGTACGGCAGGTCTTTGGAGTATTCCCCAGCAGGTGTGAAGTTCAAAACCAGGCAACTGTAAGTCACTGGAAAATGTAAAATAAAAAACACATTTCTACAACTATTTTTTTACTCAAATAAAAAGCCTCACTAAAAGCAACACGAACGAAATAACTGTATAAATACATTTCCAGCATAAGCAATCATCAGTCAACCATTTATATTGTAACATCCGAATCAGAAAAGGCGTATATAAAACACAAAATAAAGAGATTTTGAATGTTTCGAGGGCTTTTTTGAAATCATTCATTCGTTTAGGTATGGGGGGGATTGACTGATTGAAAGTGTTTATATTGTTATAATCTGACAAGGTTTTCGCCAATTACTCTGTCTTCTTGGGGCGCATGTGCGCGGATAATAAGATTATTTGAAAATGTTAGTTCGAGCGAATATTGACACTACAGGATAGTGATCGACTTCCGGATTTTCGAGAAGATAATCACATATAAACAAAATCCATGGGCAGCTTATTATGTGTTCGTCCCCTTCTGTGATCCTGAGTCTCGGGTTTTATTACCAGAAAAAGTTGAATCTTCCCATCTTTCTACGCTGCTCAGAATATTTTCTTTTCTTTGCTGCCAATTATGGTGATGTAACATTTAGCGTCTTATGCTTTCCATAAATAGCTCATCTTGTTTTACCTTATTTAGCTTGGGCTTTTTTTTTATTTCGTGCTCGGGTTCCTAACTATGTTAGCAGACTCCAACTTCGATCGCACCAGGAATTATTACGCTTGAAATTTAACGGGACACTCCCCGTGATGCTTTTCTTGAGTTTTTGACGACGAATACGTAATTTTGGAAATGGTAATGAATAGCAGTTTTGAATGTGCTAAGAGAAGCGAAAATAGCATGATATAGTTACACCCAAAATATTTGTATTTCGGGCGTTATTTAAATAATAAATGATATCCAATGCCGTATTTTTTTTTATGCACAAGTCAACGGTCTTTGCGGACTTGAGATGGATTTCCTGCGCGCTTGGTGAAATGTTCATGCATAAAAAATAGAAATTAAGTCATATATGGTCAGCTACGGTAGAGATTGCCTTAAACAGAATTTAATCACCCCCGCAAAGCTGCGTGTTGCAATGTTTGGTTGTAGTTTTACTGGAGAAAAGGAAACGTTAATTGTAATCTTCGGTGTCCGAGGTGCTTGGGTTGTGTAGGTCAAGTTCTGGTAAACAAAAAGGATATTGAAGTAAACTTCAGCGCAGTCAACGGTGAGGTCAACTGCTTTGCAGGTATGAACTGCCTGCAAAGCAGTTGCAGGCACTCCATGCCTGCACCCTTTGCTTTCTCTTTTCTTTTTGTTTTATTGGATTCCGCTACCCGACCTACGGCCACAGTTGGTGCATTCGATGGTGTCGGGGATATCAGCGTGTTTTGCGTGATGATATTAATAAGACAAACAGCGGCTGACTATTCAGTCGAAGTGATGCAGGAATAACCACATGTTTGCTTGTTTTTCGAAGGTCAGAAGCAAAGGACCCGAGCTCTTGCGATGCGTCCATTGCGCGACTCTGGTGGCGCATGGCGGCAAACGTAATAGTGCTCCTTGGCGAATCGAACAGTAAAGGCCTGCTCCCACATGCAGCGCAGCGCTACAAGTTCAGCGCTGACCCCGCGCTAGGCGCGTGCTGACGGGAGCGTTCACCAGCTTTGTATCGCTCCGTCGAAACGGTTGCTCATGGTAGCAATAAGTAGCTGATGACACATCAGCAACGCTATATCAGCGCCACACTGCATGTGAGAACCGTCCTTAAGGCTCACACCTGTCAAGTTCGGTTTAAAAGGCTAGTTACACCTTTTCTTCCAAGCTCACAAAAAGAAAAAAAATAATAAAAGAAAACTTGTGAATCGACATTTACAAGTTCCTTTTGTGACTCGTCATGGTTCAATGTGGGCACACGACAACATTCTCTTTAAGAGAGATAAATTATCGTAAAAAGAGTTTTTTTTTACTTGCATCAATAAAAGGTTGGGACCGCTCCCTTGGATGGGATAATAAGTGGTCAAAAGAACAAGAATATGAGCCTCACAGTTGCTTGGCCTTACAAATCTAAGACGTGCGAAAAAAATATGTATGTTACGTTTTTTTTAGAAGATACCTTCTAGCTCACGTGAACTTCGTGAATACCATATTTCAAAATAAAAATATGTTGCTTTTTCTTGCTTAGCTTCCTTCACTTCGAAGTTACGATAAATTCAATAAACGTCTATGGCATTTGTATGTTACTCTTTTATCCGTATGAAAGGTAATGGCTACTCAAAGTTTTTTTCCTCTCTTATTGTTTCTTGATATTTTCTTTCTTTGCTGTTGCGTTTTTCAAAGAATATTTATATAACTTATTTTTTGCACCGCTCTGTCTCTAGAAGAGCGCTGGGGACCAGACGAGCTGCCGGTACAGTTTTGTGCCATATGCATATATTCGTATATGTATATACCGGACATTTTTGCGAGGACTTACAAACATCCCTAAAAATAGGGTGTTCGAGAAGATAAAAAAACTTTTCGGGAACAAACTGCAAACCACGGCGGACGATTGCAAAGGGCATTCTAATCGGCAAAATTATTTATTTTTTAATTGGGAAAATAAACAGATGGTTCCAATTGGAAATGTTTTGAGTGTCGTCGAAATCCCCTATATCGAACAACTGTAGAACGACTAGAAGGACTGGAGAAGCGCGAAGGGACGCTACATGTACCACTCGTGCAGCAAGCGCAAGTACGGCCTTGCGACTTCGAAAATTTACTGTTATGGGAATTTTCGATGACGCTCAGCAAGTTTCTAACAGGAACCATATGTTTATTTGCCCTCATTCAACAGCTAATTATCTCATTTTAGGTAATTATTTAAATTATTATTATTTTTTTTGCAATTTTTTGGATCCGCCAAAACTGGCAGTTTGTTCCCGAAAAGAATTTCTCTTTTCTCAACCACACGATTTTCAGAATATTTGTAAATATTCGCAGAAGCAACGGGTATACATGCTGTGAATAGAGTTATTTTTATTATTATTATTATTATTATATTAAGAAATAGGTCCCAGCGTTAGCGAAAGAAAAAATGGGATTTCTATATTTATAGAAATCCCTTTTTTTAGATAAATAGTTCTAGATAGACCTATCTATCTCATTGGGGCTATAGCAGAATTTAGCAATACACCGATAAACCGACAATACAACAAACTATCAAAAAATCGCAACGAGATCAAATTAGATAAAAATAACCATCCCCCGCCCACCCACCCCCCTTTCCCTCACACACAAATAAAGAAAAAAAAACAGATAGATAATCGATGGGCCCCGAAAAAGAAGAACTGTGATTGGTGTTCCGAGGTCATCGCAAGGCGGCATACGGGCACGAGGTCCTGAGTACGTGCGTCTCGATAAACAAGACCTTCTGCCAGACGAAACCTATGACTTCAAGGGAGAGCGAGGCGGACCCGTCCAAACACAAGACGGACCACTCCGGTCGTGACGTAAACAATCAGCACTGATCATAATTGGCGCCCCTCTTTCCTTTTGTTTAACGCCTACGGGTATCTACGATTGAGGCCACTTACAGGGGTTAGTAATTCGGATAGTCACTCCAGTTATTGCCTCAGTCGCCGAGGCACACGTCCCTCGCAATTGGTGATGTCTCCAAAAGTGTAGCAAGAACGTCTTCACTTCATTATTCCAGATTTTGTGACGTCACAGAGCCGACATTTCTAGAGAGATTGTGACCCTGTCCATGTGTGAAATTAATACTACCGTTTTATTTCAATGTGTCGAAAATGCCGTCATAATATATGCAGAATCGCGTTTTACAAGGGACGCCGATAACATATACTCCAGTTTCAGCCTTCCACGCTGTGCCAGGGGTCGCCACGTCCTCGTTCTGGACCGTTAAAGGGGTAGTCCGTCGTTTTTTTCATGCCCCCCGATTCGCCTCAAACTTGCCTCACCGCACAAGTAGGCACTAGTCAACAACTTGGTGAAATATTTCGAAGAAATAAAAAAAATTCGTGCAGTTATTAAATTTTTAAGTTACGTGTTTGAAGTCAGTTCCAACCAGCGGACCTTAGTTGGCAACAATGTTAGTCGCACGGGAAGTGACGTCGTTGTTGGGTATCCCCGCCATTGCTTCTGCGCCCGCCCGCTTCGATCTCGAGGTGCTACCGTGAACGTATGGTAGGCAAAATCGCGACTCAGTTACCGTACCCATAGAATGGGTGGCGGAAGCTGGTGCTGTGCCGTTGACTGCACGAACAGCAGCAAAAATTCTCCAAACGTGTCCTTTCATAGCTTTCCGAAGGATGGCGTCCTGCGCGAGCAGTGGCTCCGAGCTGTACGGCGTAAAGCATGGAGCCCGACGGCTGCAACTCGAGTGTGCTCCGAACACTTTGAAGCCGAGTGTTTTGAGGTGACAAGCCTGCTCAAGTTGGACTTCGGCCTTGGCCGTGGGTATCGTAAGCTGAAGCCTGGTGCCGTGCCCACAGTATTCAAGTACAATGAGCCCCGACGACCCCGCATCGAAAGAGGCGCGCTGGCGAAGAGAAGAAGAACAGAGGTTTGTTTTGGGTTTCCTTTCATTCACGTGACCGCTCGAGAAACGATCTCGCTTTTCTCACGCAGCTGTCGTTTCCTTTCTACGAAATGGCGTGGATTCGAGGAGAGTTGAAACTGTCCGTGTATTTGCATGTCATATGTATTGTGCTGGGCGAGTTGAGTGCCAGCGATTGGACCGGAAAACAAGAGAGAAGTTCGAAGCGTCACTCAATGCGGCGGCCCTTGATGCGCCTCGTTGATCGACCTCACATCTCTCGGGGGCTCGTGGATTGTTGTCAGCGTTGTTACGTATTTATTTAATTATTATGGGGGGGGGGGGGGGGGGGGGCGGGCGAGGCGAGCGAGCGAGTGAATGAATTTAGACAGGGTTTCGGTTATTATCGAGGCACCCGTGCCCCCATCGAAGGCGGAGGGAAATGGGGCCTTGCACGCCACCCAGGTTTGTGCAAATCATTAATCATTATATTATTAATATTAAATACGATGAGGTAGAAGGGAAAGATAAAGAAGGCGAAAATAGTGAATTGCTTTCCGTCTGCTCGTGCGTAGGCTTCTCCATGATATCCGCTCGCGGAGGAGCTTTTTACAGACTCGTGTCCGGTCATCGTCTGTCCCACTTGGGGAGCGTCCGTTGGGGGCGTGCCGCATGCATTAGGTGACATTCCCATAGATGAGAAATGTATTTCTGTGTACCTGTTGCATCACGTAGCTAGTGGCATGGTTAAAAAAAATATAAAGAAATAATGCACAGCTTGCCTATGGAACTGCTACACAGTAATTGCTTCGTCCTTTTAGATGGTGTCTCCTTCATTGTTAGGAATGGTGTCGCCACACTTATTAATATTATGAGAGGTCCTTGCGGTAGTTCCTTGATTTTTTAAAACATCTCTCTGTTGCCACATATCTTTACTTTGTTTTCTGCGAGGTAAAATACTATTTGAGTCTGAGGAAGAGAAATGCAAATTTGTTAAGAAGCAAGAGATGATTGCTAACAATCACATTCTGCGTGAGTTCAATGGCCCTTTGAAGAGACTGCATGAATCAGTTTGCTATTGCATTTAGCTGTGATTTACTAGTGGTGCCCATAGGTGGTGCTTCTTTTCTGTAAACATTTCGAAGAAAAAACATACCTGAGTAAAAAGTACAGAAATAAAAAAAATTGTTTTTTTTTTTCTTTTATATAAGGCACCCGTCTGCTAACAACAGGAGCCTGACTGCTCTCATAGCCGACAGATGGTTGAAACAGCCTACAAAGTGTGTCCACCCATACGGAGCTGAAAGCAATACCCAAAAGAACCCCGACACACTATGTTCCTTATTCGTTTCATGTCCGTTCAATTCGCTAAAACATTATGCTGGCCCACAAACACCAAAAAGCAAGCGCTGTTTTTGGCTCATCGAGCTTGTCCACTCTCTTTAACACGACCACTTCCGCCCGCCAGACTTATGTAATTAGCAGACAGATGCTTGACATAGGTGAAAAGCATTCTAATTGTTTTACTTTTCACTGGGGTAAGTTTGTCCTTCAAACATTTGATAGGAAACAGTGTGCACATCTTTTGACCTGCATAGCAGAGTAGCTTAAGATGGCAGTGTAATTCTTTGACTTCTGTTATCTATGACGGGATGTCATGTGACATTATTACGTCCCGTTATGTGACGTGGTTACTTGGTCGTGTAACAAAGTGACGTGACGACGTTATGTACTTGACATCATTTGCCAGGTGATGTCATTGCATTACATGGTGTGTTACATGAATATCAGCAGGTAACACATGTAACATTTCAGCATTTTCCTGTTAGTCCCCTTCTACTTTGTACATGTCTTCATGCTATTTGTGTTTTTTAAAGAATGCAGTATAGTACAGAACATGGTAGGCTGGTAATGAAAGTATTCTGTCTCAGTCTAAATCATGCATTATCGAACACAGCTGGTGCAGGATGCAATGAGTGGTGCTGAGCCTGGACCATCTGACCAAGGAGCTTCTCCGGTTCCGGTCACAGATGAAGACAGTGAGGGCTCGAACGTGGAACACTCACAATCAGTGAGTGCTGATGTTGGCTGCCAAGCCAATATTCCCCTGGGGACGAACAAGAAGATGACCCAGACAGCCTTCAGGTGCAGAAGCATTGGTACGTAAAAAAGCCAATCATTAGATTGCTTTCCTTCCTTTGGAATTTGCTTTGCTTATTCTTTTATTGTGAAATAAAAAATTCAACTGTGTAGCCCAACTCCTGACATGGCACAACTTAACCTAACCTAATGGCACAGTTCACTCCTCACATGATAGTTGCAGGGAACTGGCATTACTTGTTTTAAACATTTGTGACTGCCTGATTGGTAGCCAAGCGTGAAGACATTGTGTGCGCTTTTTGTGGTCGTATATAATGCGGCAGCTTTGTGGAATGCTTCACGAGACAAAAGATGCATTATGTTAATGGACATTATGCAAGAGATGCCTCGGTTGAGGACATATGATTCACACCGTTTACCTAGGACTTTTTAGTCTCCACCGTAATGTCGATAAAACACTTCTGCCAACATGTTCTCAGGTGCAGCATATTGTTCAAAAACATGTGCCTGGTTTTCCTTCCAGGTAATTTAGTGCTCCTTATCTAACATCACTTTTCTATCCAATCTTCATGATTCTTGGTTAATTTAAGCCAAGAGTGTAGAAACTTGAGGGCTTGTCTGCAATCTATTTGGTCTCTTACATCCTACCTATGTAATGCTTCCGTGCCTATCTCATTGCTTTTGTTTTACATACCCCAATTCCCTTTTTGGCTACGTTCTAACACTGCATGCAGCACCTCTTTGGAAATAAGAAAGGTGATCTTTTATTGAAACCTTGGTTTGGACTAGTTGGTCTACGGTAGGTATAAAGTTTAAAAGCGCAAACAGACGGGGACAACAGGAAATAACACAAACGACAGCCTCCCATCCCTGCCGTTTCTGTTATTTCTTATTGTCCCTGTCTGTTTGTGCTTTTAAACCTTATGCTTTTTTATGTCTGCAGCACCCTTATGGTGGCCTACCCTTCCTTACCAAGAAGTGAGTCACATGCTTAGCTAACAATATATGTATGCAGTTCTTTGGTTGAAACGAAAAGCAGCACAGGATGTTGCACATGGTCTGAAATCATTTTTCTTTTGAACGAGTCTATCAGTTCTGATATTCATCTGTTGGCAATATAAAATCTTGTTTGAAGTGCTGGAATATACCCATGCAGATCTTATTGTGCTTTAACTTAAAACTGCATGTTTGTTATCAGTAGCATATCTTCCAGCGTTGCGATTGATGCCAGCCACACATTTGCTTCAAGCATGTTAAAATGCACTTCTTTTTAGGCACTCAGACACAGCAATCGATTTGCCATGTGGGTAGCCAGACCGACAGCACAGCAGGCACACAAGGGCCACCTTTACAAGCTTCAACCGTGTATCATCCTGATGAACCTGGCGATCACGCCGACGGGTATGCATTGCACATTGTGGTATTTACGGTGCTGAACGTTGAGACCTCCTAGCTTGGACACATATGGCACTATACCAGAATGTGAAATCTTTTTAGCAGACAGGTTTTCAAGGAATATCTCTGCCTAGGTAAAATGCCGTCGTTATTAAAATGTTTTAGCAGATGCCGAGAAACAAGGGTGAGGCTTTCAATTTCAGTCAAGTGCTACATGAGGACTGACTTCCTAAAACCAGCGTCGCAGCTGAGAGTGGGGGAAAAAAAGCAGTCAAGACTAGTGCATGAGTGGAGTGAAACGCTAACTCGAGACTCAATGAACTGTGTGCCCCAGGCTTGGTTAGCTGGCTCTGTTTCACCTTTTCTCAGCAAAGACCGTTCAGGTATCATCCTAGGATACAACTTTCATCATGCAAAAGACGATGTAAGGCCACTTACAATACCTTGCAAATTAGATATCATTGCCTAGCTAATGTTTTTAAGCAATTTTCAGTGTTGCCATTCTGGAACTGACACTTCCAGCTACTTGTTGAGCATTTCTTGATGACAGACATTGTTGTAAGGGGGTACATTGCATCATCTGCATTGTGACGGACTCCGTAGCACTGCTTTCTTGTTGTTACTGGTGTTCCAATCTCAAACAACAATGCTAAAAGTACCTGATGGTTCATGTGTCTCACGTACAGTTAGTACTATTTAGAAAGGTCATTGCGAGGAAAAAATAAATGTGGCATGTCTTACACAAAGTAATCAGTTAGGCAAGCGTTCACCATCTCGTGCTCTCTCCTGTTGCCTAATTCCGCTAGCGCTCCCTGTCTGCCCTATTGCTGGTACATATGTACTTGCACCACAAAATGTTCCAATTTGGGAGGACTCCTTGCAGCTTTGAAAGAGGGACATTTATATATCTTCAGTTATGCAGAAAGCTTGACTTACTTTAATACATTTTCAGGGACGACACGGATGATGAGGCAGTCACAGCACTAAGTGGTGATGGAGACACGTGAGTATTCGCGACTCCAACGAAATCGTCGCCGCGTAGCGGCAGCGCCGAGAAGCTCAGGAAAGGAGGTCGTTTCGACTCTGTCGTCTGCTATCGCTGCTTGGTTCTCGTAGGCAGCATAGAAACAAACATTGTTTCCAGTAATTATTTTTATAATTCCGCCATATCATTCCTACGCACTGACTATAAGAAGGTTTCTACCGTCGAAAAATCGCTTTGCTTTGAAATGTAACACTGATTTTACGCTGCAGTGCAGGAATTTGTGGTGGTCCGCGTGCTGAACGACGAAAACGACCTCTTTTCGTCCGCCATTTTGCCTGAGCAGCGCGCAGTCTATAGTTTGCTGGATTTCCTAATATATATATATATATATAGTAAAGATGTTCTTTCTTCGAGATTGCGCATGGACCCGACGACGGAAGCAGCTGATTGTCACTCGCGCCGTCCCCCTCGTCTTCTTTCAAAATGTCCCCTGCCCGAGCCCGCACGAGCGTCGCCAGTTCACATACACAAAGGCACACGTGCACACGCAAACACGCAAAGAAAAGAAAATGAAACTCGGTCCTGTTCCCGCGTCCATTCACGGTGATGGCGGAGCCGATTTTCACACCTCCCGACTAAGTATATTTTTTAGACCCGAAATGTCAAAAATAATATATAACATCTAAACTCAAACGCGTCCGCATATCCGTCACACCTTACACAGAGTTTGTGACTCAACCCGTCAGAATCCAAACTATAAAAAAAAATAAACTTACACCAATACGCAAATCATATGCTAGTAAACTGATTCTTACTGTGCCCACCAAGGCTCCAAAGGAATGACAAAGCTCGTGCCGAGACTAGCGCAGCATCTAGGCTCCTAGCCTTGGTCTCTTTGCTGACAGGTTATTCAAGCCATCCAGATTTCGACGGGGCTTGAATCGGACGAAGTATGGCTGGTTCCTGAACATCGCCGCGCAAGAGCGACGACAGTCTATATTCTGTCCTGATTTGCGAATCAGGAATGATCCTCGCAGGCGGTCGCCGTTGTCGACGTCTTCTGCACTCGCAGCTCTGTCACACGTGGCCGGCTGGCAGGTGATCGAGCCTTCATCGGCGTTTCTAGCTATATTCTGGGACGGCTTGATCTTGAAGACGGCGTCTTCGTGGCTGTCCCCGCTTTCCCTGAGATTTTCACCGGCCCGCTGTGACGTCAGCCGCCCTGACAACATGTCCGGCTTCTTGTCGACACCCACATGCTTCTCGTGGTCATCATCAGCTTGCCAGAACGTCTGCCACAAAAGCAAGATACTAAGTTCGTCGTCGTCGTCCACGTTCTCCCCGCCGTCGTCCACGGCTCGCCAAAACGCCTGCCGACCAGGCGGTAAGTTCAGTCCTTCATCGTCATCCACTTTCTCGCCGTTGTCGTCCTCGGCTTGCCGGAACGTTCGTCTCCCAAAACATACTCTCGGATCTTCCTTGCAACTGACGCCCATGTTCTCAACATGGTCGTCATTGGATTGCCGGAACTTGCGCAACCCAGGTAAGATGTCGGGACCGGCCTCGACGTTGTCGAAGTTCACACATCTGTCGTCCTCAGATCGCCGGGATGCTTGCTGCCGAGGAAAAGGGTACGGCATTTCGTCGTCGACGTTCCCCTGCTCGTCGTCGTCATCCTCGGCTCGCTGGGACGTTTCCCAGGCACGCGAGACATTCAGCTCATTTCTATCGTCAACGTCAGCCCGCGCAGACACGCAGCTGCGATTGTTCTTTGACGACCGCTTCGTATCGTCGGCCTGTAACACAATCTGAGGTGCCTCGCGGACCGATGAGTCTGGTCTCTTCTGACCTTGGTGGTCCAACTTGTTACCGTCGGTCTTGCCCACATCGGTCGTCGCCTTGTCGGGCTCACGGCTGGAGTCTTCCTCCACAGTTACATTCTCGGCATCTACTCCTTTCTTGTGGAATAGAAGATCTCCGTCTGGTGTCTTCTTCCGGGGACATTCGCGGGAAAGGTGCTTTAATTCCTTGCATTTAAAGCACTTCACCCGAGAATTTTTAGGTATGATGCCCTGCCTTGGGCTCTTGTGTTTTTCCTTGAGAGAAGTGGTGGTTTCAACAAAGGGCCTCCAGACTTCAGCTTCCGACAGTCCGATCTCTAACAAGACCCGTTCTTTGACCGCATCATACCCACTTCTCTCACCCACGTTTAGCCTATTCACTAGTGCACGCATGCTCTCCGTGAAATAAGGTCGCACAAGATATCCTCTAAGCCGTTGAGGGACTATATACCTCTCGAAAACATTCTCCAAGGTGTCAAACCAGCTTGGTACTAACGTATCGGACGACGGCATGGGAGTCAGTACTTCCTTCATCAATCTGGAAAAGCTTAAAGCTTCATTTCGGAGTTCGAACTCCATGCCGCCTTCACTGGCTCACGTTCGGTTCCCTGAGCGTAGATGTTCTAGCTCTAGCTCGAGACGTATTAGCCGTTCTTTCTCCTTCACTAGTTCTATCTCCTTTTTGATTAAGCTGTCTGATCGGATTCCTCCGTTCCCCTCCCTTTGTGTCTGTGTGTTTGCCACTATTCCACTCGAAGGTGACGATTCACCTGGCCCGTCAACATCCCTATTCTGACCCCTATTCTGCTCTGGCGTTAGAACCGGCATCCGCCGCTCTGCGCTGTCTGTATCCATGGCGGGCACACGTCAAAGAATCACGTTACCGCAAGGTCAACGATTGCCGCTGGATCACAGACGCAGCCCGCTGCTCAGAATAGTCGGGCACGAAAATGATGTCCGAGCTGGAGATTCAGGCGTTCCTCGCTGGAGTGGGACGGCATCTGGTCCGAGGTAGCTCTGTCGCCACGAAGTAGCTCGGTGGTCCCGCCTTCAAGGAGCTCGGTGGTCCAGTCTTCTCTTTAGAAGGCTCCACCAAAGCCGCGTCAAGTCCCTGTCCGCCGATTCCGTTGTGAAGAACACGCCGCCGGGGTCTGCTGACGCAATCCTGTCGACTGCACCAGTAAAGATGTTCTTTCTTTGAGATTGCGCCGGGACCCGACGACGGAGGCAGCTGATGGTCGCTGACGGAAGAGTAAAGCAGACAGGACTCCGCGGATAGGGGGAAGAAAAAAAACACGTCTATTTACAAGCGAAGCCAATTTCCGAATCCTTGTAGAAGGTTCTCCACGCGCTGTCCCCCTCGTCTTCTTTCAAAATGTCCCCTGCCCGAGCCCGCACGAGCGTTGCCAGTTCACCCACACACAAAGGCACACGTGCAAACGCAAACACGCAAAGAAAAGAAAATGAAACTCGGTCCTGTTCCCGCGTCCATTCACGGTGATGGCGGGGCCGATTCTCACACATATATATATATATAAGATGTCCAAACCTTGTTTACTCCTTTTTTTGGCTTTTACTCCTCTGCCTGAAATTAGTGCAAGAAATCAACTGGAGCAAAAGAAGCTACATGTCTGTTTACAGACAGAACAAATATGAGTTGATGCCCTGTGAGGAAGTTGGGGATGCCCACATATAAATGTTTGGTCTGTTTTGCTCCAATCGGCTAGAAGTATGTTCTGTTTTAAAGTTTGCTGTTTAAATTTAAGCTTCAGGCATTTTGTGAACATGGGAGCTCCACAGAAAGCTCATGGGTATGTTTCACCTGGACCAAATCCCAGATTCAGAATTCAGTTTCTAAAATATTGTTAGCTGAAAGAAGAAAAGAAAAAACATTCTTGGCCTGCTCTGAACTGCTGGCTTTCTAAAACTCGAGGATTTATAAAGGCCTCCTGAAGTTTTCTTTTTTTCTTTTTTTTTTTTTTTTTTTATTAGTGATTTTGAAGATGTAAAGGTTAAATTGTTGCTTGGTACATCAAGCAATCATTTTTTTTTTTTTCTGGCTGATTCTTAGGTGGTGTTGTACCTTTGAAATGGTTATTATTAAAGAGAATATTGAAGTCTTTATGCATGCTCAATTACGCAAAATGCTTTCTACGCATGCAGGGAGGCCTGGAAAGACCCACCATACTGCCGTGATGAGAGCGACATGGATGATTCTGATGACGAGTAAGCTATCCTTTGATGTCCCAAGTTTAAACAAGACAGCAATGTGATGCATGGTCTGGAAGCAATTTATAAAAACAATTTGCATAACCCGATTTTTAGCAAATCGTCGGAGGATTTCCACTCCTAAAGCTGCATAGCGCACTGGTTAGTCTATGCTGAACCTCCTTAGCAGATTTGTAGTAGACCTAAGTAAGTTTTTGTGTTGGCTTCTGATAGCAATTGGAAGCACGTGGTACAAAAATAAGTAGAAAGTGAGCTTCATACCCTGCATTAACATTGTATGAAAGTATTCCGATGCCGGTAATAGTTGGGATTATTCTAGGTTTGCATAGCTTGCTGATTAAGTAGAAATATATCTGGTCTAAATGCTTTCTATGCATATGTACAAAGAAAAAAAAAAGATGTGGCAATCTGGTACTTTTTAAAAATGAATACCCCTATGATGAGGCAGAACTGCATCAGGCCAAACTGACCGATCAGTTGAAAGCTGTTCATACTTAGTACTTTTATTGTAAGCTACTTCTAACATTTTGCACCCGCTTTCTTAGCAACCTGATATAATTCATATTTTTTTCCTTTATTACTCTAGGACCGATGCATCCACCGAGCAACCAAAGCCCGAGAGGTTCTACGAAAAGAAGTTCCTGGTTTTTGAGTCGAACCTGAGGGAACTCCTGGACAGGTGCCTGATCTGCGGCACACCACAGTGCACGGCTAAACTGTCCTTCGTGGGGACAATGGTTCGAGCTGACATCACATGTCCCAAGTCCCACGTCTGCACTTGGCGCAGTCAGCCTGTCCTCCACAGAAAGCCAATGGGGAACCTCGCTGTGTGTTCTGCTACCCTGTTCTCGGGAAGTAGTCCCGCAAAGGTGCTGCGACTATTTTCCTTCCTTGGAATGGAGTCAGTGAAGAAGTCGCAGTATTTCAAGATCCAGCGATGCTACATGCTTCCTGCAGTATCTGAGGTTAGGGTAGCTTGGAATGTGCAACAGTAAACAGGACTTGACTTGCATATCCTCGTTTTTTCATAGGTCTGGTTCCATGAGCAAGCAACCATCCTGGATGAGCTTCGAGGAAGAAAGCTCTGCCTCGCGGGAGACGGGAGGGCCGACACACCAGGCCATTGTGCAGACTTTGGCACATACACTCTGCTCGAGACATCTGTTAATCGTATTTTGCACACGGAGCTTGTGAAGGTAGGTCATTATAAAATGAAGAGTGCTACATTTGTAGAGAGAGTTTGTGTCTCTTATCTACAAATCTAACAGAGATCCAGGCTTGAGGTTGAAGAGCAACTAAAGCTAAGGACAGTAAATGACCCTGCAAAGGACTAGACTGATTTGCAAGCTTGGATGCTCTTCAATACAATAATATTAGCACTGTAAACAGTATTTCACTATATTTATACCCTAGCTCCCCCTTGGTGACAGTGAGACGGTACATATAGACCTGACCTGATACGTTGAAAAATATTTTACAGTCCACTGAAGTCTCTTCGAGTAATCGAATGGAGACCGAGGGGATGGAACGGTCCCTTAACTTCCTGTGCGCCCAAGATATGACGGTGGACACCTTGGTGACTGACAGACACTCGGAGGGCAAGGCTTCTCTGAAAAGGAACCACCCAGGCATCAAGCACCGGTTCGATGTGTGGCACGTTGCCAAAGGTACTATGCATGTTCAGTGATTCTCAGTAGAGTAGATTGTTGGGCTAGTTGGTTTTGGAACTTGGAATACATTTTAGCGCTCAAAAACAGGGACAAAAGAACGAGAAACAGACAGCACAGTGCGCTACTAACAACTGATTTTATTACATGAAACCGACACTTTTATACCATCCGAGTTTCTAATTTCGCCCCATCACTAGCCAACCCGATGCCAGGCCGCGTCATTGAGGAACTCGCGCTCCTTGTCCAGTATATCAATCGAGGCCACGCTGACACATGCTGCACCATTCTTCTTAATCTCATCTGCCTCGACTATCTCCCTCACAGTCTTTTCCTTGTGATGTGCCAGAATCTTGCTCTCGGAAAAAAAGAGCAAGATTCTTGTGCCTTTGTGTGCCCTTGTTTTTCGAGAGCAAGATTCTGGCACGTCACAAGGAAAAGACTGTGAGGGAGATAGTCGAGGCAGATGAGATTAAGAAGAATGGTGCAGCATGTGTCAGCGTGGCCTCGATTGATATACTGGACAAGGAGCGCGAGTTCCTCAATGACGCGGCCTGGTATCGGGTTGGCTAGTGATGGGGCGAAATCAGAAACTCGGATGGTATAAAAGTGTCGGTTTCATGTAATAAAATCAGTTGTTAGTAGCGCACTGTGCTGTCTGTTTCTCGTTCTTTTGTTCCTGTTTTTGAGCGCTAAAATGTATTCCAGTGATTCTCAATTGCTAACGTATGACTAGTCATGATGTATCAACTCCTGGCCTAGAGTTGCTGGTCTTTTAAAATTTTCTGAATCCAAGTTGTGCCAAAAGCAGGCCCGATTACCTCTTTTAATTATCTGAGCAACCGTGTTTACTCAAAACCATACACTGTGTTGATAAACAGTTCAGATTAGTGTTGTCATCTGCTGAAAGGATGTAAAACACTGCAGGAAGGCTTTGTTGCAGTTGAGCAAGTTTGAGGTACATGTGTCGCATAAGTGTTGTAATACTATATTTCCCTGTGCCACACTATAGCAGTTATGCTTGGCATGAGTTCTCCTAAGACCCCCTTTGAAATTTAATTGAAATAAGGTACATGGGGGATGGTGCATAATCTATGACATGGTGGGCAGTGGAATGCTGAAAACATGATTGTAAAAACATAATACTTGTACATGATAAGTATGAACATATTGCAGAGACCGTGCTAATTTCGCTGCAGTTTCCTGATAGTTTTGGCCTGGAAACTCCCTCGATATTCATCCTAAGAACTTCCTTCTTCTACAGGTGCAAACTTAATCCTTCGTGCTGATACGTACAAAGTGCGACGCAGTTAGGGCAAACAAGCCACCACCATCAGTTCTTACTGTTTTACTTTGTCAAATGATCTGCTATAATCAAAACTACTTAATGGAGGAAAGGGCTCATGTGATGCTACAAGGAGATAAAACATGGAATCCCACAATTTATTCGCCGAGCACAGCGCAAAAAAGTGCCGATGCTGTGTTTGTGTTAACTGTGTCGCGATGTGTAGAACCATCTATGAGTGTAGTTGAGGCACACCTAGTTGTATACTGTGTATGATACTGTGAAAATTTCAGCACTCTTGCAGTTCCAGCATTGGACGAGGTGTGGTTTATTGTGCTGAGGGTTATACACCCCGGACATGCAGGCGAGGAGAAATTGTGGGGAAACTAGAGTACATTTTGTGCCCTTGTAGATGGGAGAATAAGCACATGTGCTGTCAGGAGTAAAAGAAACAGACAATGGTGAAAAACTTTACTAAGCTTGATAATGATAAATGCCACTACATTATACTAAAAATCAATCTGTTAAATAATAAATCTTGTCCTCACGGCCAGACTGTATCTGTCATGGTTCATGTCACCATTAGCCCAAGTTCTTGCATTACCTGGCAGATAAGCCTCCAGACCAGAACCATCCAAAGATTGCAGTTCTGTCATCATATACTTTTCTTACATTACTTTTTAGGTGTAAACAAGAAAATCGTGGCGGCGGCTCGATCCAAACAGCACAACGTTCTCCTGAAGTGGAGTAAGACTATTGTCCGTCACCTTCACTGGTGTGCTAGTACCAGTGATGGCGACGGCAAGCTGGTCCTGGCCAAGTGGACCTCCCTGATCCGCCACATCATCAATGTGCACCGGCATCCTGACCCCCTTCATCCAGCCTGTGAGCACGGCAACGTGCCAGATCGTCTCTGGCTCGAAGAAGGTAAGTTTCACCTAGTAAGTAAAGTAGCTTGTACCTTGCTTCTACTTTCTGTCAGGAGCAGGGATTTGTACTTTGTTTGAAGTATACTTTTTTCTAGTAATCATTTTCCAAACAAAATATGCTTGACTACCAGGTACACTTATAAAATTTTGTGTAGCTAAGTCAACCTCACAAAAGCAAATCTTCATTAACTCTGAAAAATACTAGGAGGAAGTAAGCATATTCATTCTAGATGTACAAGCATAGGCATGGGCAACCGGGGGGAGAGAGACCTTGAAAAGATACAGAAAAAAAATATATACATATGGAACATTATACAAAAAGAAACAACAAAGTATTGAACAACCTTGGCCAAACAGTGGCCACACCAAAGCATGATCTTAGTTACTTATTTATTATGAATGACACTGCCAGTGGTGGCACTGCTGTGCCATTTGCACCAAACTGTGACACAACGAAAACCCTGCTACATGCTCGTCTAAAGGTTGTATTTGTGTACAGTTTGTGCCATCTTTGTGCCAAAAGAGAGCTGTTCTCAAAAAGAAAACTGAAAGTATCTGGCACGTGGCATTCTTGGCAATGCCACTGAAAATTAAGAATGTAAAGTTGTTTTTTTCAAATGCCTAAGTACTATGTGCGGAGAGTAGGGCTGCACAAATATTCAAATTATCAAATACTAGTTTTAAATTATACGCTATTTGATATTAGCTTCAAAATTAACTGCAATATCCATACTTTTCAAAGTGTTGATCGCGGCGGGTTAGCCCCCTTGAGTGTGCTTCTCCTCAACCACCGATGCACTGCGAAGAAGCAATATTCGCTGAGCTGACACTGCAATCTTGTAACTCGCTTCACCGCAGTGCAGCTGCGTACTTGGGCAAAAAAACACCATCAAGTGGTATAACCACTGATTTCCACTATAGGGGGCTGTATGGCGGATAGCTGCTCTCCGAGCCTGGCGCACGTGAAGCCACCAGAAGTTCAATGCTTGTCCCAGTAGCCTTGCGTGTGCTGGGCTTCCTAGTGCAGCTGGACAATATTTCAGTCCATGCTTTTTTGATTGGGTTTTAATACTCCCGTTCTGGATTAAATCCCAAAAATGAGGCATTTGACTGTGGGACACACGCACACTTGATCAACTAGAATCTCAAAATTTTCACATTGAATGGTTTGCCAGGAGACTTCTCGGGTCCGCATGCGCTGTTACTTCACAACAAGCAGTCTGTTTGCTTCGCTGTTCGATTCAGCACTCGGAAGAGTTAGAAAGCCTGTCAAGGGCGCTTACTTCCAGTGGTTTCATACCATACCTGTCTGCTCAATGTGCCGTCCAGCCCCCTATATCATATATGGGAGATCAGTGGGTATGAAGCATGTGCGTGCCTGATGTAATAAAAAAAAAAGAAATTGTTATTGGTGATACAGTCGCCGACCGATTTTGCGGACTTCGTGAGAACTGAACAAACGTCCGATAAATAAAGCAGTCCGAAAAATCCTCAGGTCACAAACGTTGGCTTTATTGAGCCTAGGCGGACTTGAAAAAGTCATGAAGGCTACCTTGTTTCATGTTCCGCCTGCGGGAGATCACGTCCGCTTGCATCCGCGCCAGCGTCATATACGAAGACGGCGAGAACGTGCTCCACACTTTACAAATGGCGACTGGCTTTGGTTGGAGATGGAAAATCAATGGAACAAAGAAACGAAAACGATGATGATGATGCGGAGCAAAAAAAATACTATAGGACGCCTAGCAGCTGATTCGGCAGCTCTAGAATAGTGCTCTGCCAAACCTATCCAAATCCACTTAAAACATCAAGCCAAGCCCACGGTCAAGCCAGCGAAAAATCCAAAATGACAGCCCTTTGGCGGCCGCCGCTCGCATTTTAGTCCGGAAAATTTAACTTTAGGGCCGCAAACTGTCCGCAAAACTGGTTGTTAATATGTACTATTTCAATCGGGTAAGTAACGGTTCCCCGTTGATGTCCGGAATAACAAGCAAGTCTGTAATTTTGGCGTCCGATAATTCCGTCGGCGACTGTATTTATATTGCAGTAAACAATTGTCCAAAATTCAACTGTGGCTTTTATGCAAGGGTTATGATAGGCAGCAATGTTTTAACAACCTGTGTTCATTACTTGTGCTTGTTTTGTTCTCATAATTGAAGAAAATATCTTCAAATAGCAAGAAGAACTTATAAGTGCTTTCAATGAGGTATGACGAGGCTCCCTTATAGGTTTAATTTTATGTTAACTCTGTCATTTACTTCCCATCCTAATGTTGGCATTGGACTGTCAGTCTATAAATATATCAAGATATAGCCAAAGTCTATAAATATACCCAGATTAAATTTAACAGAGCTCATAAGTGGGCAATTAGAAGCTTGGGAACAACCTTTGCGAGTTCAGCTGAATTTTTGTTCAAGCATGGCGTAACAGTAGTGAAAGGCATGGAGAAAGGTGCAGCAACTATGTAATATTCAATTAAAAAATATCTGGCCAAAGCTACTATTACCTTTAAATTTGCTTCAAACCCAAAATCCATTATTTGCACATGCCTAATAAAGAGTTGTCATTTTTCTGTGCGAACGGTGCTCATATCGATCGCATAAATAGTTAGCGCTACTCGTTGTGATCAGTTAGAGCAGCTGGTTGAATATGAGCGAGGTCAGCATGAGACACATTCAACGCAAGAGTGTCCTTTTGATGTCGAACTCTATACAATTACCTAACCGTGATACAAACCCTACAAGCAGTCCGTGTGCTGCTTGTCCTAAATTTCAACAATAACCAGCGTGCTTTGACACGAGCCGAGCAGGCTTTTATTTTTGTTCTTGAAGATGCTCACATATTATTCACAGCAAAAATAATGCCTAGATTGGGTTTGTGTGTATACAAAGAAAAAATTAAGGATACAACATGATTACAAAAGATGTTGACTGTGAAAAGCGAGAATTTAGCAGTTAGATTGGTTGTGCGAGTTAGCATGTTTCTGCTTAAATTTGAGTTAGGGAACTTCGAAAGCTGAGAACCACGCTCCAACAATAAAACGTGATTGGAATGCTGACATAGAAGCCAATGTTTATGTTCACAAGGTTTGTTCCAAAAGCTTCCAGTGCAGAGATGAGCCCAGCAGAGCCTAGCACAATACTTCATGCAACAATGTGATACTATAGGCAACGTTCGTGCATTTGACCACCATAGTAACAATTCGCTTGAAATAAATGAGGACGAGACGCCATGAGGTGTCCTATTATATTGAAAGGAACAGTTTGTTACCACATTGTGTGGTACCAAACATTTTCATAGGCAATGGTAACCATTAACCGATTCCGCCAACGAAAAGAACACAGAATTATTAGATGGTCGTATGGCTTCGCAACCTCAGTCAGGGTGAGTCATAGATGCGTGCAAGAGTGTCATTGTCCAACTGATGCGAATATCAAAGCCGGTAAAAATGCTGTGATGTTCGTTTCCACTTGGACTTCCCCAAGAAAGTGGCCTCCCAATTGTCGGGCTGTGTGTGCTTCATAATACTCTAGTTGGTGTAGCACTCCAATAAAATAAGACACAATATGCAGATTTCATAGGAGTATAGTGACCACCGTAGGGTATACTTATTGAATATAACTTTGGAATTACTTCAAGTAAACTTGTAGTTTACTTGAAGTATCTTCTAGATGTCTACATTTTCCAATGCTGGGTCTGCTTGACCGCTTCTTGGTATACTTCATAACACAGTTTTGTTTATAAACTTGCCCAGGCACAGAGACATTCAGGAAGCTTGAAGCCATCCTGATGGCACCCAACCTGCTGAGGGACATACCCTTCCTGTCCCCAAAGGAACAGACGTTCGGGCTGGAATCGTTTCATGCAGTTTTGATACACTTTGCTCCAAAGTCCAGCAAGTTCCAGTATGACGGAATGCTCGCACGGTGAGAAAAATTGAACTAGACAATGAAATTGAAAGTGCATGGTACAGTTTTAATGTCATTAATTTTATGAGCACCCCAGGATAACCATTCAAATATGTACACATCATCATTGCAGCACCTACATCGCAGCCCTGCACTACAATCAAAATGCAGGCAGGGACGTGCTCCTTGATGAGGATGGGAGCCCCAAGTTCTACCAGAGATGCTCGAAGGCACAGAAGCGGTGGACACTTGCACCTGTCAAAGAAAGCGTGACATATGGTAAGCCTCACAATATTCAGCACATAACATTTATAATGCTCGGGTCACAAACAGAATTATTCAATACGGAAGTTGTTCTGTTCTGTACGGAGCGAAGGAAAGCTAATCTGAAATGTTTTGGCTGTGAGTTTAGAGGAGAGGAAAAAGAATGTCTATACATGGAGAAAGCAAAGTACAGGTGGTAATAATTCTTCACTCTATTTGTACTTTGCAGACTATGTGCGGAAGCTGTGCGACGCTGTGCTGGAGTGCGTGAACAGGTGGCCCACTTATGCGATCGCCGGAAAAGCTACGTACCGGGTGTCGCACGACACACTCAGCAGCAAATGTGGTCCCAAACCATCGATGGGTGAAGCAGTTGCAAGGCATCGGTCACGTTTTTCTACATGAAATGTCAAAGCAGCTGCGCGGTTGCTGTTGACAGCAGTGAACACTGAACAGACAGCCTGCTATCATCATCAAGGACGCCATCAAGCCATGAGCATGGGCTCGCGTGTTTTGCGACTTATATGACAGATGCATTTGACAATCTGGATCACAGACTTCTGTAATACCCCAGGCGTTGCAACCTTTTTGAGAGCTACTTGTCTTAACGTGAGAACTTGGTGTGTGTGTCTAATTGCCTATTGAACCCTTTCTTCGTTTTGTCAGGCGTCCCAGTGTGAAGCAACCTCAGCCCTTTGCTGTTTTTTTAGCTTTCTAAATTACCTTGCCTTGTGTGTGAAATACTCAAAAATGTGGTTATTTGCCTATGGCATAAATTATATTGACTGACAAATACTGTGTTTATCTACAGCATGATGTATGCTTTACTTTTTTTTGTGGTCGTCTAATGGTATTGTAATGAACGAATCAAAAACAGTTATTTGTCTCAGCAGGAAACGTGACATTTTGCAATTTTGCTATGTTTTAGACAATACTGTTAGCCGTGTGTCTCTGATTAGAGCTTTGGGTGTTTATTTAGATACCAAATTTTCTTTTAATCATCAAGTTACAAATATTGTCATTGCTCAGTGTGTTTGGTTCATTATGCATATATCGAGCGATTTTAAGAATGCACCTTGTTTTCCAGCATTCTTTCGTTCTCTTGTTCGAAGCCGCCTTGATTTTTCTCTAGTTTGAAACAGCATTGCAGACTAACTCTTGTGTTATTGAGCGAGTACAAGAAAATTTCTCTTTTATGGCCGCTACTTGCAATCCAAGGTATTTTATAACTATGAGAGATTATGTTAGCTGATTGACTTACACTCTTTGTGTAATAGACGAATGATGCGGGATTTGATGTCCCTGCATAAGGTCATTAATGGGATTCTAAACAGTGTATATCTGCGTGTTGTGCAAAGGTCTAGCTGTGTGCGATCATTGTTTTATCCTTTCCGTTTACACAACACTGACCCCATTATCCGTCTGCAACTGGTTCTTAACAAATTTGAATCTGAGATAAATTTGATATTGATATTTTTGGATGCAAGCATACATTTAGAAAGTGCATTGATATGTGTTTCGTTTCGACTTGTCAACATCTGTTTTGGAGATGTGAATTCCTATCGTTTCGATGTAGTGCACCTCTAAACAGGCATAGAACTGTTTGTGTGGCACTGAAAATAAAGCAATCAGTCAACAAGCACCCATCTTTTATTTGTTTGCAATAAAGTCTACGTTATCACAAAAAACGTCAATTATTTTGGTAATTGACGCTAATTATCATGAACATTGCTATTTTAAAAAAAGAATTGTGGATTCTGCAATTTCAGAAAAACAATTGGGAAGGGTAGATCACACACATGATGCATGCCACGATGCAGAATACAGGGCATTCCAGTGCCGATTGTTTCCACTAAATAATTCCAAAACCTGCTGCTTGCAAAATTCGCAAAATATCTGCTAACTAGCGTAAATACTCGTTTTAGTGTACTTCAGCTGGCCATCAGCTGAATAGGCATGTCTGGTGTACAGATGCACCCGGAGCAACTTGTTTTCTATACTGTCAATGGCTTACTCTGCATTTTGGTTCTGTAATGCTGTGAGAATAGTGCCCTGAAGACTTGCTTTTGTTCACTTTTAGGAAGTGCATGTTCGGGTAATGTGGCATAAATGGATGAACAGGGATCAGGAGCTCCGGAAGTACATCTGATCTGGGGGGGGGGCAACTTTTGTGGGCTCCTGTCGCATCGTGTAGTTCACCTCTCTCTCTCTCTCTTATATATATATATATATCAATGACCACTGACGAAGCGCAGTGTAGAGAAATGAAGGCTGCAGTCTGATAGAATTTTTGGAGTCTCGAACGTGGTGTAGCCTGGTGTAGGCACTCTCCACACACGGTTTGTCTAAAGCGTCGGATTAGCCTGTGGTGCCTCGTCGCTTATGGAGTGCAGCTTCAACATGCAACAGCCTCACGCCCTCATGGGCGGTGGGGGTTGAGAAGAGAGGGGGCGGTCGGACCAGAAAAAAATCCCCCGAAAGGGTTCTTGTTTCACTTACCTACGCACACATGACTTATTCGGTTGATGGGAAAGCTTCCTGAATGCACCAAAGCACGCAAGCTGTCAGCCTCTGGAAATTTATTTCTCCCAGGAAGCCCCACACCCACCACACGGAGAGCCTGTAGACTGTATACCTGAGTCGTACGAAATAACGTAATTAGCAAATAAATTCAAGCATATTTTGGTTTATCTTGCCATTGCACCTGGTGTTTCCTGCATGTGTGCCACATCACGAACATATGACAGCTTCTCCTACAACGATGTCAAAGCTACTGGCGCGAGCGAGAGTACTGGTATCGCGGTTTATCTCGCGCAAATGGGACGCTAGGCAGACTCACGCGGTCGCATCACTAGATTTGGTAGCGCTGCACACTAGCGTTTCATAACAAGTGCGTGTTGGAATGTGCGGGGGGATAAACTAGCGACACCAGGCTCCTAGGAAATAGACGTGCTCGAGCGTAAATCTCGCATTCGTGCTGTGAAGGTTATACGAACGTGCTCACAGCTTCAAGAAGTGGCCTCGGATGCACGGACCCTCGTGCGCCGAGGAACCCACCAAAAGTCATGAGCGCGCGCGCTTTCTAACATTCACGGGCAGACCTCGTGGGGACTGTCCCCACCGGTTGTTGTCGCAGCACTCCACGTATATCGGTGAGTAGTATCGCACGTGACGAGCGTGGACTTCGAGTACGTCCCTGCAGAAGAACGTCTCGTGGCGCGTGATGCAACTGATACCAAGGAGCGGACCCATCACGAAACTTCCGCACAACATAGATCTTCGTCCCGCAGCGCGGGGCAGCACCTGTGGCAGGAACACGTGTGGCAAGTGTACGTGATCAGTAGAGAGCACCGACATCATAGAAAAAGAGAAATGTTCAAAGAGTCTTACCAGTCTCCATCACTGTCGGCGGGTTGCACAGGTAGCACTGCCCAGCGGGGCCGGGAGACCGTATTCGCCACCGCCGTTGGCGCGATGAGGCAACGCCGGCGGATCGAAGGCGAACAGAGACTCACGGAGATCGAACTCTAAATCCGCGGTGTCGAGTTCGGAGCAGCTGCGGATGCTTTTCGAGTCAAACGCCTGCGCAATTTGTTTCCTAAAGAAAGCTAGCCGCACCAGCCGCACGTCTCGCCACAGCCTTCCTGGCCATGCCCGCCATGCCTACCCAACAGTGACGTCACAGCACCACCGCACGAGAAACCGAAACCTCCCGGCCGGAAGTCACGAATATGGTTTCGCTATCGTATTAATTTGGACTTTTCTAATTAACTACAGTCAATTTCAAGATGTCAAGGACCATTTCAGAAAGGGCGAATTCCCAGCGTTCAGAAAATACCATTAGCTTCGGTAGTTCGAGAAAACGGCGGACTATCCCTTTAACTTGTTGTTTTCGAAGCTTTTGCGGCTGGCGAATTCTCGAAGCATCTCCGAGTCCACTCTGCCTCTGTTTCTTTTTTTTTTTTTTAAGGCGAAAGGCCTTATATGTTCTGTTACACGAAAAGGTGACGTCGGCGTTGTGGCCGAAAGATTGACATGAAAATACGTCATCGAGCACGTGCCGCTCAAAGTAAAGCGGACGCGCCTCACAAATAAGACACAATGAAAAACACAACAACGCAGATGTTTCGTCACAGAAGCGGTGAAGAGGGCGAGGCGCCTCGCCTGCGCAATGGGGGTTCGTGATATCACCGCCGGAGCGCCATCTGCGAAAGGTGCATGCGCTTGGGACTTCATCTGTGCTCGTTGTGTGCTTCCTGTGGTGGACTGTAATGCGACCGCGCGAGACTATAATGCTTTCGCATTCCTACAGGTAAGCAGTCTTGAGTGTCCTCCTGTAATTTTCACTACACCTGCGTCGAGCGGCCGGCGAAGATCGCGGCGCAGGTATTTCGCAGCCGGCCAACATCGTTGGACCGTAACACGTGCTTCAAATTTTAAGAAGAAATCAGAGTTATCTACGGTGGAAGTTTTGTATTAAAAGAATTCAACCTGGTTACCTGCATTTGAAAAAAAAAATGTATGTGGGTGCAGTTGCATTATTGTGGTGACGGCACAGTTTCAAGCGTCAATAATCCTGATAGTCGAACGATAAAAGGCACGGCTTTACACGTTGTTATAGTGTGACTCACGCTCATTACGCACGAAATAATTCTGAATTAGTGATTGTAAACGTGCTCTTCTGCACTGTTGCATGCTGATTTCTGCGATATCATCCAGCAAAATGCCTGTCTGCAGGGAGATGCGAAGGGTGGCCTCTCAGTCGTTGCGTGTTGCTTATTCACAAGACGCGCCTCGGAGAACCGACAGTGATTAATCACTCTTCCTAGTTCAATACGTTCTATACTTTCTTTCAGTATAAGACAAATGGCCAAAGGTACTGAGCCAATTAGAGCGCCGGAACGAGGCACGTGACGATGTAGCGTCAGCGAGCGAGACTCCCGTGGGGGGCTGTAACATGCTTCGCTCTGTTCCGGTGATTGGCACACACTAGCTTAGCGTTCGCCTTCGAGTCATGTTTCATTAATAAGGTTCTCGAGAGCAGTTATAACGAAGTCAACAGGAATAGGAAATCACTTCGCTATATCCCCTATTTTGTTATAACCGACTTCGTTATAACCGGTCTCGACTACCTCCGTTCCCAAAACATCATTCATAGTATGAGTCGTCCTTAATACTGAGACACAAAATCCATGCATTTTCCCAGTTTGTTCCCGAGAAATACGTCAATGTACGGGGAGGAAATGAGGGAGTGGATATTATTATAGTACGCGAAGCCGCGAGAGCGCTGAGCTCTGGTTAAACGATTAAGGGGTAGACACAAAGCCAGCTGCCTTTGTATCTGCTCAACCTTTGAATGCGTTCGAAGTGTGAGTAGAGACAAGGGCAGCTAGCTTTACATGCACTCACTAATCATTCCAGCCAAAGCTCAGCTTTCCGGGTCACCGCGCGCTCGCATCATCTCCTCTCCCTCAGTCTTTCCCGCATCACTGGCTCTCCACACTATCAAAGTCCATATTTACGAGACACGAATTACCACGTCATATTGAGGCGGATGTACTCACGATTACAGAGAACTAATGAGTTTTTCTTAATTTCATGGGTTTCTATAACAACTACCGCGGTACAGGCCCTTGCGAATTGAAATAACAAATCTCCGGGTAGGACAGTGACACTCGCAGTAATGTCAACTTTTGTTTTCCGGACAGTATAGCGCGTAGCAATAACAAGCTGGTATTCTCTATCGGAAACACAGAATACGGAAGAAATTCCGCTCCGCCAGGAGGAAGGTGGATCACCGTTGTTCGAGTACTCCGTCACGGGAGCTCTCCCCGAGGGAGGCCAGTGGGAGGGCGCCGACGACGCCTTTCGAGTTTGGTTGAAAGACCCGAGAGATTTCGGGGAGGGGTCCGCAAGGTCGGACCGATCAGGCCCCGAAAGAACGCCGCCATGCCTCACTTGAAATCGTTCGGGCTCATTGAGCGAACCCCAGAGAGTCGTTTGTTCGGCTCGGAGCGAGACAGAGGCTCACGAATACAATGACCCGCTGGATGTTTCCAGACCCTGATGCGACTCGAGACCCGGCTTCCCGTGGCAAGTTCCTGCGTTTAGCTTTAGAAATCGAATCATATTTTCATATACGTGCTACTTGAAACGAAAAACTGAGATAGTAAAAAGAAATGGCAGTGACATTTATCTCTAAAGTAAGATAATGAGTGAAACGCAGCATTTGAAGCAGCGATCGCGTAAATTTGTTTTAAATACCTTTAACAGGCGTTTCGAGGAGTGAAAAATAACCTATATCTTTATCAGTATCCTCGCTAAATTTAACCAGAGAACTGATATTGCGTAGGTCATGTGCAGTTTTCTAGGCGTTACCGAAGAAAAGTAGCGAAATACGTTACTCGCTCAAATAAATGGAACGCGTTATCGTTACCGTTAAGAAGTAACGTACAGAGCGCGACACTGTTAGCGCGAACAAG